AATATCATATTTCTAAATTACTTCAAGAGGAAATGCTGGTTTATTAGCTAGTACTACAGGAAGGCTGGACAAGTGCTGATAACCCAATGCAGAATCTTGTGAAAGCTGTACAGAGTGTGATTTGCTCATGAATTTTTGCAGTGCAACTGGACTGCCTGATAAGATTACTTTATAATTCGAACTAAACTTCTAATTTTAAGACAAAGATAAGGAACACTCCATGGGAAATTTGGAGTGCTTGACTATGTAAATGTTTGAAGAAAGCATAATTTCCTTTCTTTAAAAAAGCCTCCCATCATATTATGAGGATTTTTGAGAAACATACTGATACTTACCTTTGGATGCACTTCAAAGAATCTTTTTGCTTGAGCTGAAAGTACTTTGTTGTCTTATTTGGATGCTCCCACTAAAATGGGAGAGGAAATGTCCAGTTTTATTTTTGATCAACTCGGGTATTAAACTTAAATCCAGCTGCTGGGCTTATGAATGCATAAGTATGTATGGCCTCAATCTAATTCTATGCTGAATCCTGTGAAAGCAACACTTGTGTCAGATGTGTCAAGAATACCCTATTATACCCTCATTAAAATGTACATACATTTCTGTGTGCTCGTGTAACACGGAAACATGGAAGAAAATAAAATACTAAATAAGACAGTCCATTAAACCTGACTTACATTTCTTCACAGGTAAAAATTGTCACAGCGGTATCATACAGGAGGGTATGTTAATTTAAAAAAAAATTTATTTGGTTTGAAGCCATTTGAGAAACTCTCCTCTAAAACCAGATTTCTTGGGTATCTCCTATCTTCTTGGCATATTGAGTAAGATAATTGCCAGGATATAGGTCAGTGTGGCAAAGCCATGCTTAATGTTTTCATGGTCAGAAGCCAGTTGAACATCCTGTCAGCATTTTGGCTTATTTGAAGCTGTCCTTCTGTGGAGGCTGTACTTTAAGTCTCTCTGTTTGGAATTTTCCCTTTAAGGTAGAACTATTTTCACAGAGTCGTAACAGGTTATCTGGCCCACCCTGCTACTGTAAAGCAGGGCCAACTGTACCTAAATAGTTCTAGCAGAAATAACTCTAACCTGTTCTTAGAAACATAAATCTCCTACAGCAAAGTATACCTGCAGTAATAAAGGGCAATTCTTAACCTGAAGTGATGTCTTACGGTGCATCGTTTCAATAGCTCCAGTGTTTTCCATTACAGCACTTTGCTTAAGAATAGAATATTTCAGTTGGAACCTACAACGGTCATCTAGTCCAACTGCCAACTGCCTAACTTGGGTTAAGCTTTGCTCCAGTCTTCTTGAGAGTCAGTGAATAAGAGTTTTGATTCCTTAATTCTCATCACTATTAGCAGAAATCTCAGGTATTTAAGCTCCTTGCGTGTCAATGGGAGGCCTGACAGTACATCGAATGCAGGTAGTGCGGTACTCCTGGAGGTAAATAACTTTGGAGATCCTAACATTTTAATTTGACTTGTAACATCAATATATTCAGTTGCTTTATTTTGAAGCTTATCCAAACATACAGGAACTCACCTTTCTTTCCCCACTGGCATCCTCTTACTGGGGTAGGGCCTGCGTTGAAACACTGGTGTGTGTGTTTGAGGGTACTTGTTCCTTTGAGGTTACCTGTCTAATAATTTAGTGCATGCATGTGAATGGAGATTCATCGTTGCTTTCACTGAGGCAGATTAAGTCATAATTTAACAAACACACATGGATGAGACTCTGTTCTGGTAGGAGCCTGTTCTGACAGCAACTTGGTTTGAAAAAATGTGGATAAATAAAGCAGGGATTGTTCTGCATTTATTGTAAACATATCCTCTTCTCTTTTGCTCAGTGTTTGTCCTGAACTATAATCTAAACTAACTCTACAAATCCAAGAATTTATGTAGTCCTTCATTTTCTTAAGCACTTTCTGTATCTCTGCACATTGTTGAATTGCTACTGTAGTTCACCCTCTGATTTTAGTAAAACTAGATGTTAAAATTCTGTAAGTTTATATAGCTTTTATGGTTATATGTATGTTAAAAAATTGTACAGACACGGATTCTTGCAGGACACTTGTGTTAGAAAAGTAAGCGCTATTTTATGTTTTCCTAGTTGGTGAAACTGTGTTTTAAAGGCGAATGGTGGCACTTTGCTGAGAGCACAGTTTGATGGAGGCAGAGTTCCAATTGGAAATCAGACCTTCTGACTTCTTACCATGTGCTCCAGTCCATAACCCCACTCTTGTGTCGTAAAGAGTGCGGTAACTGCTAGACTTTAAGATTTTAAGCAGCCACAACTGCTGCTTGAAATCTCCCCTGACACATTGCTGGGGCGTTGGCTGCAGCTGTGCCTTCTGTACCGCCTCTGTATGGGTACTGTCTCTGTTACACAGCAGTTGCTCAACAAGCTGCTTTAGTAGAGTCTTCCTGTGTATTAATTTATAGCGTGCAAAATAAGTTAGGATCAACATTTCTACGTGTACGTAGAGTAACTATTACTAATAGCAGAACAGGAAAGACTTTAACACAGTTCTTGGAAAAGAGTTATCTTTTATTTTAGAGATAAGCAAGCCAAGCACAGTAATCCATTGAGCTGTTTAAGTGACACAATATTTATAAGAACATTTTACATTCCCTACCCTGAACTTCTTCATCTTCTTCTTAAATAAGTACAACACATTTTCCTTTGAAGACAGAATCAAACAGGCCATGATTTTACTGTAAAGCTGTTACTAACACTTCGCCAGAAATATGATTTGAATAAGAAACAACATTTATACTAGAAGAGGGGAAAAGAAAACTCCCAAAAGCTATTTTAACTCTACCAGCTCTTGAATTCCTTCCTCTTGACTTATTATTTGTGGAATGTCAGTGTCAGGCATCTTTCTTCATTGAAAGGCTCATCCAGCCTACACTGGACTGTGCCAATCAGGGTAAGGTGGATAGTTGTTTCAAAAAGCTGTAGCATGCTGTTTCTGTCACATGAATTCTGCTCTCTTCTTACCATGCGAGCCTCAGATCCTGGGACTGTTTTGCTGAGTAATCAGGCTTGCAGATTTTGTGTTGATTCACAAGATACACAGTAGTTATGGGGTCTAACTGATGTAAATTGATTGAATTCCATGGAATCCATGGAATTTGTGTTGCACTGATTTACATCAGCTGAGCCACTTCTGGGAATACTCAAATTTAATTAGTTTAGTTAGGAGACATTGTGAGTCAGATTTAGGATATTTGCCTATAGAGGAAGGGACGTTCTAGCTGCTTTATACAGCCTGTCTATTTTACATTTCTTCTGAATACTTTTGTGATATTTCCTGCTGAAACTCACTGTACCTATTACAATAATCTTTTCCTTTCAAGAGATTTAGAGAATGAAGTAATTGATCTCTTTTACAAAAAAATGTGACTTCTTTCTAATACTGCCACTCTTCTCCCTGTTGTCAGTTCTTATTCTTAGAATTTACGTGAAATATATGTAGAGGTAAGAGAAAGTGTCTTTTTAAGTTTGATGTTACTCTATCCTGGCTGATAAGTGTTGGGAACCATAATGACTTTTTGGTGGTCAAACTCACCCCCAGAGCATTGCAAAACTGAGATGATACACACAAAGGGGATCAACCACAGAGGCTTTTCCTCTCATCCTGGATTCTTCTATCTATTTAGTATCTGAAGCCTCCAAGTCATGTATGAAAACAAATATTAACTGTAAGTCTAAGGCAACTATAGGTTTCTGTAGTTTATTAGTTAGCAAGTAAACTGGAAACTCTATCCTCAAAGCACTACTTCAGAGGTGTATCACTGCTAGGAATATGGGACTGTAGTAAACGGCTGAGCTCTTGAATTATTCAGTATAATGAAATGGTTTCTATTGGGACAGAGTTGTAGCCCACTTCAAACTCAAGGTATGATCATGTTGTATGTTCAAAATGTATATAATCAGTTTACAATGCCACTCTGATCATATGTTGTCAATCCTTCTGCTTTAATTTCTGAGCAAAATAGCATAGACACTTTGGGAATAAGTTCAGAGAATGCAGCTAAAGTGACTCTATTTTAACTGTAATCTGATTTAAATCTTATATGAATAAATCAGTCTGGTTTCAAAGAAATTACAGGCCAGTGACAGCTGCACCCTGGTAAGATTACAGCAGGGATTTGGTTTAAAATGAATCCAGCATCTTTAAAGCCTGCGTGTGGTACCATTATACCAACGGATGCTGAGGAACCTGGCCTCATCCCACCATTGCTAACACCGGCAAGAGAAAGTGGGGCAGTGTGGTGCTGAGGCATTGGGGCCAGCTTGGATTTGGATGCCTTGGTAGCTTGACACAGTGGTCAGCCTCATAAGTCTGGCTGGGAGTCAGGGCTTATTAGCTCTGATGTACTGCTAGGCTCACGTGGGCTACACAGTGTTTCAGTCTCAAGCTGGGAGGTCCATCGTTGTGCTTGGCATGAGTGACTTTGACCTCAGATATGCTTTGGCTGAAGAATGATTTATGCTAAAATTTGTGAAGCTTCCAGGCTTTAAGAGTATTTTCAGAAGTGAAGGTTTTGTGAATCCGTGTGAATTAGAGTCCCATGATTCCCATGTGGAGAGACTATGGCCTATCATGATAGACTATGAGACTATAATGATTTAAGGAGATAAATCACTGCCAGGGTCCCTCTCATCAAACCCCACCTTGTGTAATTTATATCCTAACTAGTCAAAGTTTTCATGTTCTTATTGGATAAATGGTTTTCTGCATCCTTGGGAAATTTTTGCATATGCAACTGACCTGTCCAGTTCTAGAGGTAATGGTTGAAGTAAACTCTTGAGGTAGCTTGTGTATGGATGGAAAAAACACACGTGGAGCCTTCTAGATGAGAAGGCTTCTTTGTGAACAACGTGGTTTATGCGAGTCTTGAAAATGATATTTAGGAAAGTTCTATATGAAGATCAAGGTTATACTCTTAGGGATTTGGTTTTGAATGAGATTTTTTTACTTTGTGTTTCAGTGGCTGTTCCCTCACCAGTGCCAGCCTGTGAACCTGAGCCCAAGACCAACGGGCACTACCCAGCTCCACGACTCTCTGTTTCCTCCCGAGCCACTGTTGTTGCTACCATGGAAGCCCCTTCTCAAGGCCTGCAGACAGTCATGAAGTGGAAAACAGTGGTGGCCATCTTTGTCGTGGTGGTAGTTTACCTGGTGACGGGAGGACTCGTCTTCCGTGCCCTGGAGCAGCCCTTTGAAAGCAAGAAGAAGAACACAATTGCGCTAGAGAAGGCTGACTTTCTTCGGGAGCACGTTTGTGTAACCCAACTAGAGCTGGACACGCTGATTCAGGTAGGCCATTTGAAGAAGACAGTACTTCTTGGAAGTCAGGATAAACAGCCTGGTGATTCGTTGATCAGCTGAGTCAACAGGGGACAAAATTTTTCACAGAACCATCACCATCAGAAATAGAGGTTAAATGTATTCATTAGAATAATGAAAAATGTGTGCAAAGAAAATCAGAACTTGGTATCTGGAATAAATTTTTGTGAGATTTGCCAGAGATCTGCCCTTCATCTCTGTAAATTTTCAAATGATGTTAATGTCTCAATTCTTCCTCCAAAATTAAACACAGCAGTCATGACAGCAAACAGAAAATGACAGGTGGGAATTCCAAAATAAATAATTCAGCCAAGAATTCTGAACTTACTGCTGTATTAATTTACAGGTTGACTTCTGCAAATTTTAGGTAAATGAATGATGATGTAGTATACAATTAAAAATAGAAAATAATTGGCATTTAAGAATTACAGAAACTTCAGTCTGCTCTAGTAGGCAAAACCTTAGAAAAAATTTTGAAGGAAATAAAAATCAAGAATGTAGGTGTACATGGAAAATGTAATAACATGGTAGAAAGGTCTATCAAGGATAGAGTTATATTTCATTGATTAGAACTCTAGACAAGGAAAGTATTATGGATATTACAAGACTTCAGTAGTATATTTTCTGGGATCCCATATAGAAACCTATCACTTAATCTGAAGAAAATAGAGATTAGACAGGAAATGTGAGATACCTGAGGAATTTATTCCAAAGTTGAACTTCAACCTTATATTTCAGACCTGAATTTGTGTCTGGGCCTTCCAAGAGCACAATGAGTTTCCCTCTGGGGTGTCACACCAGAGTTCCTTTGGGATTTCAGGCTGTTTGAAAGAACACAGAGCTACCCGCTGGATTCTTGTGTCCATCCACCCAACTGTGTTATAAAACCCTTTCTATAAGTAAATCAAATTTATAAGCTTGGTATTTCTTTTAAGAAGCTGTAAAGGATTTTTGAAAAATACTAAAAGCAAGAAGCATGTATTCTCTTGTTGGGAATGTCACCATTAAAAGGTATGCAAAGTGCTTTCTTTTCTAGCAGAAAGCAGAACACATAATAGGTGCAACAAGCAAAGCATCTCAACAAGATGGGAGAGTCCTGCATACCAACTGCAGCACAAAGGTTTCTAAACAGCTCTTATATCTAGCCTAAGCTATGTACTAGTTTTAATTCTTTATTTTACACAACATTTTTCCTTCTTTCACCTCAAAAATACAAAACAGGCATACTGTGTCATTAGAAGGCAGATATTCTCCTGAGATTCTATTATGTCCTCAGGCATTGCGCTGTGTAACTGGAAATCATTTTGCAAAGGTAAATTAAATGGGTTTAGCAGCTTAGAATGTCTTAAGGCCAAGAGATGTGAAATATTGAAGCAGATTTGTCAATAAATAACAAGTTTCTGTGGATTCTTCTGTATTTATGGGGGTTAAACTGGCTCCAGGGATGTAGTTGGGTACATTGGTACAGAAAACTGATTGTAACTGACTTACACAGAAGAACAGTGAACCACTGCTTGGAGATAATGTCAGGGGGTTAATGTTGTGCTTTCATACCTTCATGTCGATGATCTCAAAAGTGACATCTCCCTGGATGGCACAATGCATTTCTGTGTTGCACCAAATGCTGCATCTGCCTTTCCAACAGTGACTTCAGACTGATGTGGCAGCCTCCGTGGGTCCTGGCTGCTGTGCTGTGTGCAGTCAGCACCTGGCTACCACTAAGGGACCTATTTATAATTAATGTTTTTTGACTACCTGAAAGCCTATAGATGAGCACAGATTGTATTCTCCAGAATGACTGTGTTGATTAATTTCACTGCTTTGGAGAATATGAAAAAAATACAGAAAGTGAGACCTTAGAACTGGCTTGTATCCTTTTACTGTAGGGGTGGCTCTGGAACAATCTTTTAAGGAGAAGAGGAAAGGAGTGTCATGGTCTTTACAAGGCTAATGATGGAAAAATTATCCCTTTTCCCCTTTGGAAAACCTATAAAGAAGATATACGGCATCGTATGAGGAAGCTGTTAAAATTTAGTGTGGATGAGACGTCCTTTCCAACTTGATCTCCAATAACCCATTGCAAATATTAGCACTGGTAGCACAGATGTGAATCGCTGAGTCCAGGCTGTGAAGTTTGTTGATAACCTTCAGAAGTAATATAGTGATGGAAGCAGTGCAAATCACTAGGAAGATTCAAAGTATTTTGAATTTGTATTTGTCTCTTGGGTTTTGGTTCAGGTCTGTCTAATACTAATACAGTGATAGGTAATTTTTTCTTAAGATAGCAAGTATTTCACCTGAAGTGGAAGTTCTTAATCGTAGATTGTTAAAGCCCGCTTCTGCTTCTGAAGACATTTGTTGCAGTGAAGCAAGTTCATTATTTAATGCCTGATGTGATCTACAATTTGGCACAATGGTGATTGCCAGAATAAGAAAATGACAAAATTGTGTGCTCTATCTCGACACCTTTGAGTTTTCAGAGTTAGAGAGAAGTGAAATCTAGAATATGCTAAAAGGCAATGAAATATCAGGTGCTTCAAGGACATTTAGCTGCACTGTACCCATTTGAACAAAGAGCATGAGGCAGTGGAACTCAAGTGACTGGACATACAGTTGAAAAGAAAAATAGCATTGGTAGTTACACCTGCTAACGTATTACAAAACTTTTGTATTGTTCCTATATGCCATAGCATAGGCTTATTAGTAGCTGGGGTCAAAAAGAACTCCTCTTGCCTTTGTAATAGCTCACACTTAGAGTGTATAATGGGGAGGTTATGCCTCTTGGAAAGATCAGATATTCTCTGTCATTAGGAGAGGCAGGCAGGAACACCATCAATGTCTTTTGGCAAAGTAATTCCTGTGGAGCTGATAAGGGTATTCATATTCTGTTTCTATGTAGCCTGTGCACTGTGTATGAGTAAAAACTTCTGTAATGAGCTCTGCTTTCATAATGAGCCCTGCACAATGACGTAAGATAGAGTGGCTTGCTACTGTAAGAAGTTACTTAGGTTATTGGTTGCTTCCTTCTTCCTTTTCCTTCAGGGTTTAATTTAGGAGTCTGAGTGATTATAGAATATAAAAAAAAAAAAAAAAAAAAAAAATCACCCACCTGGGAACTAAGTCGTATTATCAATGTCCACTAATGACTGCAGTAACTCATTAGAGTTAGCCTGTAAGCTGAAAAGGAAGCAGAGCTGGAATAAGGTTGTCAGGCTTTACTGGCTAATTATGTTAGTAAGAGTTCATATTTTGGATAGGCACATTTGATTAGTGTTCTGAACTGCTTTTGCCCTGAAGGTAAGCAAGAAAGGGAACATCCTGTAAAGATGTTTCAGTTTCAGCTGCTTGACTGGTTCACCAGTGTCATAAAGCCAGCTTGTCTTTTCAGGGCATTTCCTTGCAAAATGAAGAGAACTTGGATGACTTTCATGTGCTAGAAGAAAGCTCTAGATGGAGCAGAAAGTATTTTGAGTTAACTATGGGGAAGACTTGCCTGTTGCTGAAGACAGGAAAAGACTATTTGAATTGTAAAGAAAAACAATGGTAAATACCTGATTACTGAACCTTCTGCCTGTGCCTGTGGAGGTTGTTCTCTATATGTCTGAAGTTCCCTTCTGCTCTGATCTTTATTTTACCTTAGTCCCCCTAGAAAGATATGAAGAAAAAGATTCAGATCTCTTGGGTCCTGTCTAAGTTGGTGCAGGCACTCCAGTTTGTAACTTCAGTCCAGACATACTCCAGTCATATAGGGGACAACTGAGCCTAGGATGCTGCAGAAATCTGCAGCTGTCCTGTAGCTGTGTGGCTTCTAGAAGTTAGCTAAGAAGCTTGCAGGGAACTAAGCCCTTTGGAATTAGATCTCTGTGTGTGTCCCTTGTTGAATGCTCTAGGTCTGCCCTCAGACATAGTGTGTGCACGACTGTCAGATCACTGTAAGTGTAGGTAGATCCCTACCTGGTCCATTGCCACCTAAAGACCTTTATGGGATAGGCAGAAATATTTAAGGGATGGGCTTTCAGAGCTTATTAGTTTTGATTATACCTGGACAAAAATTGCTGGCCTTGGTCCTTAGAAAATGCTGTTGTGGAAAAGTGAATAAATGGGAATTCTTAATGAGCATCCCTTAGTCACTGTGTTGAGGCGTGGTGAGAATAAATAGAGAGGTAGGGAGTATAGAGAAAAGTTATTAGATAATAAGTCTTTAAAAGCTGCTTGATAATGAGAAGCATCCTAATAATCGTAATGGAGAAACCTCAGAGCATGAAAGGCATTTGAAACAACTTTTTGTATGCTTGATAGGAATCTGCTTGGAAAAGAATTGTATAGGGAAATAATCATTATTGGATTAACATGATCTGTGGAGAGGTATTAATGGAACTAGAAAAAAGATGACAAGAATTTTCCTTTCTTTTCTTATCAAATTCTTATCCTCGGTTACACATACAGTACATCCTTTGAGTAGCTTAGCACTCAAGATGCATATTAGGCTTGTCCTTGGAAAAGACTTGTCTTCTTCATGCCTGGGAACTTACTGGAGAAATTAAAGAAACATGAACAAGCGAAAGAGATAAAAGCATTTTTTTTTTCCCAGAGAAAGTAGAAAGTCTGTTTGGTTCCTGTCTCCTCATCAGCTGCACTAGCTCCCAGCTATCTTGGCGCCTGTGGGCACAGCTCTAGAATTTTCTTGATATAATTGTCTTAAGTAGTGATCAAGGTACCTAATACATTAGTGAGGGCTGACATGTATGTACTCACTCACCAAGGAGGATCAGACGTGAGTATCCGGGCCCTGTGAGGACCACATGAACCCCAGGGGACAGGGAGCTGGCAGCTGTGGACCCCACCACTGCCAGCCAGGGAGCATGGCTGGCTGAGGGCAGCCAGGGGCATCCCCTGGCCCAGGCACCTCCCTGGGGACACAGATGGGCTAAGGTTGGCCTGGGGTATCAGCCCCCAACTTGGTGGAGGCTGTTTCTGGACAGGGCAGGGCTGCAGGAAGCTGGAGCCTGACACTTGTTCAGCATCACTGGGGTAGGGACTGAGATGGTGAAACCCCAGTAGTTTCTATTTGGTATAAGGAGAATATAATTGATTTTATCCATAGAGACGAGATACTATTTTTATCTTATGTTGGGGAGGCAGAACTCTTGACACCTGGTGAGACAAGTTAGTGTTCACTGTACCTTTCTTTGGACTTCAAGTCCTATATGTTAACAACTAGACAGCCCAGGGTGGGCCCATGCCTCGTAGCCCTTAAATATTACTGCCTGAACGTCAACAGGCAGTATCAACAAATTGATAAAGCCTATTCCAGATTGAGATGGAGTCTGAACTTCACTCTCTTTGGGAATACAGGATTCAGTCATCCCAGTATCACTAAGTAAGCTGGGATTTTGCTCTGGGGTTTGCCTTCAGTTCTATGCAGATTCACCAGGCCATGTCCCTTGACTATAACCAAACTGATGACCCGTTACTTTTGACTATACTTCAACTATAAAAATACCTGAAACTGCTAGTTTGAAGTGTCTTAAATGTAGAAGGTTTGCCAACAGAGCAGTTAGCAAATTGGGTCTTTCCCTTCTCCAAGATACAACCTGAGGATGCAGCTCTTTGGGTCATGCTCCAAAGCCTGTCTGAAGTTTCACAGATGGGAAACTGCTGTAAAATTTCACAGTCTGTGTGAACTGGGAGGGTCTTGCCAGTGACAGTGTCCTTGTTTGAGTTTTGTGTCAAGTCTTCAGGATGCTGCTGCATAGGTGGACTTGTGGTGGTAGTAAGGCATCCTTTACCCATGCATGACCTAAAATTGCATATTTAAGTGCTGCTAACTGCAGGGCTGCTCTCCTCTTGTTGCTCACTTTCTATCTTCCATTGCTGTATGCAAAATGCTATGTATTAGGAGATAGCGTTGGGATAGTTGGATATTTATAAATGAATGAAGTCAGTCAAGCTTTAAAGAAAAAATGAATTTGTTCTGGATGAGAAGGGAGCCCGAGAAGCTCAAAGCTCCTTAAGGCAACAGGACGCTCCTTCACTTCAGGGTTTGGTTCTTGGCCCTAATAGACTTGCTAAACTGTCTAAACTCAAATGTGATTAAAGTGTTGTAATTAGCTTGCTGACATTCACACACTCAAGGGGAAGGCAAGCAGCATTCCTTGGCAGAAGTAACGTGCCGGGGTAGCTGACAGTGTGTCATGGCCTATTTAAACAAGCAACCTGTCCGTTACCCTGATTTATGATCTTCTGGGTAAACAAACAAATGATCTCTGCTTTCACACCACCTGCAATATGCCAGCGACTGGTACAGAAGCCCTTTCAAAGGGTTTGGTCTTAAGCACTTCCTTTCTCTATATCCCTGTTTCTTGAGATACGGGCAGGTGCTGAGGAACCCTGGCTTTCTGCCCACGTGAAATGCAACCAGTCCAGTCTGGAGCTTGCTCTTGCTGTAATTTCACAATCAGCTGAGCCTGCCATGTACCAGCTCTGCCGTTAAAAAAGGCTGTCCCGGACTGATGTTTTTAGACATACCTGGCCTCTGTTCTTGCCTGTGCACCTCTTCTCCCACTCCTTCTGTTTTTGGGGGTCAATGTGATGAATAAGTAACAACTGGAGAGCAGATCAGCTGAAATTAGCCGAGGAAAAAAAATGCAGCAGAGAAATATTTGTGATGATTAAGTCAGTTGGAAATATAGGCAAAAAATGAGTGAGGAAAAGTGCAAAATGGAAGGGGATGAAAAGAAAAAATGTGATAAATGAGGTGAATGAGGAGAAAAGTGTATCATTAAAGCTAGGGATATAAGAGGTGTTAAATGGATGTATTTAAAAGTCAGTGCTGAAATCACAAGAAAGTGTAAGGTGATAGAGAAAATCAGGAGAGAAATCATAGACATGAACAGGTGAGAAGCGGGGCAATAGTAAATAGAATGGTTAACCTTGCTTTGCACCTTGACTGTATAGAAAAAGGTGAAATAAAAAATCACAGTGATAAGTCAGAGGTAAAAGAGAAGTGGTTAAAGGAAACGGAACACAAAAAGTCAAAACAGACTTGTATTAATAGTTGGGAATTCTGTGTTGAACAAAGTCAAAGAAAGAGAGGATGTAAGAGGCAGCACTTTGCCTCTCTTGCTGAGCCCGGCAGTCAGCTCACTGAAATAACCAAGGCTAAAGGTGACAATATTTAGGAGGAGGAGCAAACGTCAAAGTGAGTGAGAAGGGGAAGATCTGGCAGTAGTGTGAGTAGCATGATAACAGCAACATGAAGTGGAGCTGGGACAGAACGGGAGAAAGGCAAAGAGCTGGAAATGGTAAGAGGCAGAAAGAGAGAAGCTTGCTTCCTTTGCATTGGCTTTATGGAAATTAATCTCAGTTGGGAACATTTGGGAAGGAGAGGTTTACTTTGAAAGGAAATAATTTTTGGTGCTATTCCAGAGTGGGGTCTGGATTTCTCTATGATGGGCAATAGGTTGCATGAGATCTACAAACAACTAGAGCACATGTACCAGAGGGCATCTCAAAAGTGAACTTAGAGCAATTCAGCTGAACGTGCCGCATGCTGATGAGAGATTTATTTCTGTGCTTTGGAGGCTGATGCATTCAGCTCTATCTTCCTTTGGACTGGGAAGCTGCAGTGAAAGGCAAACATGTATGACAGTGGCCTGGAAGCAGTATAGCTACCTCCGCTTCCATTCTGGATTTAATTCATTCAGGGTCTCTGTACCCTGCTATGTTTGTGGACATGGGATCATGTCCAGTGTCGCAACTGGCAAGTTCTAGCTGACCACAAAGGTGTTTCATGATGTTTCCATAGCCATCCTATTTGCTTATTTAAATTGGGATATATATATCTTATTTTTCCTTTAGTTAGCATAAAACATAAATAACTTAATCAATTATTAATTGTCTGGGAATTAAAATCCTTGGCTGACTACTAGCTTCAGTTGACTTCACAAACATTATTTGTATTTACCACCCTTCTTGCTGCTTCTAACATCAGCTGTTCCTGTTGGGAAATTTTTCCTTTGGCAATTATTGCTACAAGAACAATATTTATGTATTGCTTTGTGTTGTCCATCCTCTGCTTCTCAGTTGCTTTTTATCTTTTGTCATTTTTCTATGAATTGCATCTTTCTTCCACCTTAATGACTATTTAGTTCAGTCATATATTTAGCTGGTGAGTACAAAGGATGCTACTATGCTCTGAGCAGGTATCAAAAAGTGTAAATCTAAGCTGTTCCCATGGTCCTAGAAATTTCCCTTTGGAGCCTATACCAGCATGCATAGAATACGGTAAGGCATGTGTAAGGCTGATTTGTTGTCTTTTTCTTTGCAGCATGCTGTTGATGCTGATAATGCAGGAGTCAGTCCCATAGGAAATTCATCTAACAACAGCAGTCATTGGGACCTTGGAAGTGCCTTTTTCTTTGCTGGAACAGTCATCACAACAATAGGTATGTTTATTGTTTATAGAATTGTACAACTACTTTGGTTGGAAGGGACCTTAAAGATCATCTAGTCCCAAACCCCCTGCCATGGGCAGGGGCACCTCTCACTAGACCAGGTTGCTCAAAGCCCCATCCAACCTGATCTTGAACACTTCCAGGGAAGGGGCATCCACATCTTCCGTGGACAACCTGTTCCAGTGCCTCACCACTCCCTCTCCTCAGGACTGCTCTCAACCCATTCTCCACCCAGCCTATATTTGTACGTGGCATCACCATGACCCAGGTGCAGGACCTTGCACTTGGCCTTGTTGAACTTTATGAGATTTGCAGGGCCCTGCCTCTCAAGCCTGTTCAGATCCATCTGGATGGCATCCCTTCCCTCCAGTGTGGAGGGACACGTGCTTGGTGTCATCAGCAAACTTGCTGAGGGTGCATGGAATCCCACTGTCCATGTCACCAACAAAGATTTTAAACAGCACCTGTCCCAATACCAGTACATTAATTAATTTTGGCTTACGCTCTGAAGTTTGATATAAGTAATTCTTCTCATACCCTACTCCTTCTAACTGGAAATGTATTCATATAAGTATCACATCCTTTTTAAAACCCTTCCTTGCTTTCATACTAATAATTGGAAGGAATTCCACAAATTGTACATTGTACATGTGTAAAAAAACAACCACATTTTTTTTCCCCATGCTAGAATTCATGGCCTGGAAATATTGACACATTTCTCTGCATTAGATGAAGTTACTGACCTACTTCATTTACTTTTCTTGAACCACTGATTTTAGTAAATTCATTATTCAGGCCCTTATCACCTATCCCCACTATACATCGTGTCCAATGTATTTAGATCTCTGAATGCTATCCTTAAATATGCTAAGGTTTTTATCCTCTTCTCTATTAAGATTTTGGAGATTGTTCAAACAGCTGTGATTTCAGAAGATGGTCTGAAGGAAAAAAATGATAAACTGATTGATGATAAAGTTAATCTGCTGATAATTATACAGTGGTTTTATAATTTAAAGCTTGATTTCAGTGCTGTCATGGTTAGAGGTCAAGAGATCTGATTATTTGGAAATCACTTGCAAATTGTTACTTCTTATTTGCATTGCCTTTGAATACTTTTCTCATTTAAATTTTGGGTAGTGTGTTTCTCCATTTTACAACTGTGATACACACACTAGTGACTGTATAGACAAATAATCTGACAATCACATAACTCTTCATTAAAGTGTGAGAATCTCACTGAATTCTGCAAGATCTTTGTGCAGGTAGTGCAACGAAAACACCCTGTGGCAGTGAAAGACTTGCTGTGGTGATCACCTCAAACAGTGGGGTCTGTGCCTTTGGCTCTGCCTTCTCTTTGGTGTCAGAGTGAAGGTGAAAGAGCGGTTGGACAGAGTCTGCTCCTCCCTGTGTTCCTCTATATACGAAGCTACATTACCATGTATTTTTAACAATAGCATGAAACCAGCGGGTAGCAAGAAAGAAAACATTTCTGAATCAAATGTAAGAAAACCCTCCCTTAATATTTGTTTACTCAATAGACCCAAATGACAAGATTTTAAATTACTCATTAAAATAAATGCCACTATGTAGGCATAGTTTATGTAGGCATATTCATTGACATCTGCTATTTAAATAACTTATTGAAAAAAGCTTGGATTTTTGCCCATATTTGCTTTAAATTCTCCATGAATGAGACTTTTATAGGCTGCATAAAGTCTATGTATTGTGTCTGGGCATGAAATTTATTTTATTTTATTCACCAGAGCCCTGTTAGGAAGGCGCTCAGCAGACTACTTGGTCCACCTCAGTCCATTGGCCTGTGGAGCCTGGATTTTCTTGGACTTTTAGGAGAAATCTAGGATCAGGGATGCAGCCATGAAAAGGACCGTGGGTTGGGACAGGAGCAGCATTGTGTGTCAGCTTAGCCTCTTCACCATCCCATGACAGAGAGATGTATCCAACCCCAGTGTCACAAAACTAACATGATTAGGATCTGGGAGCCCAGCCTTAATTCCCAAGGACCAGGAGAAATCACTGTAGATGAAGCAGACACTTTCTTAGATCTACAACTCTCTGGATATTCTGTGTTTCCACTTTATTTCATCAGTGTTTTGTGATTGTGTGGTCATTTTTAATATTCAAATAATTATGTATAGTCAGAATAAAAATCTCTATCACATTTCAGAAAAGATACCTCCTCTTAAATAATAAGGTGCAAATATTACTGCCACAAAACCCCTCATGAAATGCAAATCTTGGGCTCTTTATTGTCAAATTGAAAGAGGAGCTGAATAAAGAGGTCAAGGGTGGATTCGTGTAGTGTGGGTACAGTTTGGAGGTGTTGAGGGGCTGAGGAAATCATCAGCTAACCACTGAAAATGAGCCTTGTCAGGTGAGTCACACTCTCATCAGGATGTCATTGGCAATGACTCCAAGAGGAGCAGTAGCCTGCAGGCACCAGGCCAGCACAGAGGGATTTTTGTGCCATGATAAATCAAGCTAGATTAATTAATCAAACAAAAACTAGATAGGACCTGAATCTGTAGGAAACATGGGTAACTGAGGCTACAAGAAGAACTGAATCACAGTGGGTAGCTCACCTGGGAAATAACATCGTGCCATGGAAACTCTTTAAATAGGAATTCCATGTGGAACAAAGGTATACCTGCAGGAAGAGCAGTTCTTCTAAACCCATTAGTTTTTCTAAACAGCCCTATATAAGTTCTAAGGCTGACAATTGTTTTTCTCCTCAGGGTACGGAAACATGGCACCAAGTACTGTTGGAGGCAAGGTTTTCTGCATCTTGTATGCCATCTTTGGGATTCCACTGTTTGGCTTCTTGCTGGCTGGGATTGGAGACCAACTTGGAACCATCTTTGGGAAGAGTATCGCAAGGGTGGAAAAAGTTTTCAGAGTAAGTTCACTGTCAGTTTTTTTGCTTGTGTTGTCTAACTTGCTTTTAATTCTGTTGCTATTACCTGCAGTCCTTTTTACATGTTGGGCACCATGAAATATTTACATGACTAGTTGAGATGATGGTTAACATCCTTAGAGGCTTCTGTGGAGGGAAATAGACTTCTCTAGATGGTGATGTAGGGATTATAGATCAGGTTCTGAATTTCATTCTTGAGGCTATTTCTGGGGAATGTATCTCCTAAGCTAGGTTCCTTACAAGGACTGGTTGTAAACACCTTCAAAATTCCACAGGTTGCTTTGGACATGTTTATGCATTCACTGAAAACAAAGAGAAGGTAGTGTAACTTCTGGAGGAACAAAGATGCAGAGTATGTAATGACTGCATTACTAATAAAGCCTGAAAGACTTGGAAAGCAGGGTTACTGGAGTGAATGTGAACTTGAGAAGAGAGATGTCTGAGTGATATGTTTTCACTGCAAGAGGACAGATGCGTTGGAGTAGATCTGCAGCTGCAAAAACTGGCATAATGCCACTACTGGAATCATTTTCGTGGTATTTACCTGCCTTGCCTCCCGTGGATACGTCCTACACTATAGATGTCTATATAGACTTTCTCATACGTAGTCTCCCTTCATGTTGCCAGTACCCTCTATTTTTGAGTGTAACAATTTGAGTGTAAGCAATTTTGAGTGTAAGCAATTATTTCACAAGCAGTGCCTTAGATCTGGCAAATGCTGTTTTGCTCATTTGCCGATGGTTCACTTCAGGGATTGTGTCTTTGAAGCAGAACTTCTAGAAGTGACCTGTGTGATGCTTCCCTTGGAGGCGGCATGTCTGGAAGTAAGTCTTTCTAGGGACTGAGTAGATGAGAAGCTATCCAAGCTGGTTAGTTTAATAGGCATCTATTTCTAGAACATTCCCACAGATGAGAGCAAATTACTTGTAACTGTTTTTGAAAGGAAGTAATTGAGTATTAGACTGGAGTATGAACAATTTCCCTTTTGATTAAATTACTTTGAAGTGTCCCAGACCAGCCATAAGGAGCATCTCAGGCTAAATGAGGAACAAGGTGACTAGTGATTATGGGTGAGTAAGCATGTGCATGTCTGACTGGAGAGCACTTGAAAATGGCCCACATTTTTATGAAATGAAAATAAGGCTATTGAAAGATGGCTCAGGTTGGGCCTGCAAAACCAGAAATCGTTAAGATCCCTAGTTTCTTTTTACCTACCTTCTTATTATACCTGCTTCATTTCAAAGGAATCTCTGAACCTTCCAGCCTACTTCTGCCCAAGAAAAGCTACAATCTTGAAGTCGTGATATGAATTGAGAGTCAGAAAATTCTTGATTAGTTGTCACCTCTAGTATTGGCTTTCTGGGTGACATGGACAGGACCATTTAACTGCCATATGATAGTTTATGAGTAAAACAATACACACCCTACTTGAAGTATTTTAAAATTCACAGATAAATGCTGATACTAATGTTTCATACAGAATATAGTCCTTTGGCACATAATGGGAGTTCTGTTGGTATTCAGAGTCTTCCTTCCTTTTCTTGAGTTAATGCAGTTCCTTATTGTTTATAACCATCTAAACTATTTCTTTTCTTCCTTGGTGTTTTTTCAGCTTCCATAGTAATTTAGAGATCTGTGATCTCTGTGTTTAGCCAAAATGTATGTTTATTTCTTTTACTTTGATTCTCATAAATCCACTATATCTGTTCTTTTGTGATTTGGTGGATGGAGTTATATATAATTTCCTTCAATATTCCTAGTAATGAGGTTCAGCTATTGGAAATATTCCTGATACAGTTTACCATTTACATGCATCTTAGGAACTAGTCTTAATATCAGTTGTTTCACTTTATATATTATTTACATAACAATAGATGTACTATAAATGATCATTAACATGTTATAAATGATATATACTTTATATTATTAGCTAATGCAGCATATAATAATCATTATAATTTTTGTAATTAGATAATTTATTATCACTTTGTGTTTACATTGTTAGGGTCCATAAATGTTTTAACCTAATCGGATGAATCCAAAAGTGGAGTAACAGTTCTTGATATAATCCTGAGCAGTGAACAAAATTTAGTTCAATATGTAACTGTTTTCTTACTTTATAACTGCCTCCTAATGAACTCAAATTCAGTATGTTTGTGGTTGTAAGGTAACCTTCTATAACCTTTAAAGAGAAGACATAAAAATGAGGAGAATCTAGCTGAGGGGTCACTGAGTGTGTATCAATAATCTAGTGATACAGCAAATTGAATTTCCAAAAGATATGCCCCCATAGCCCTTGTAGCTGAGTCTGTAAGATGGCATTCACTAGTTACCTGTTGTATTTGCTTCCCAGTGGGTCCTCAAGGGCAATTTGAGCTTCTAGTCATGGGGAAGGGAATAAAAAGAAATGATGCATGTGTCCTGGACATTATGATATGTCAAATTTCCACGTGCTTAAGCCTCAACACTCTGCTTCTGTCTTATCTGTTCCCGGTTGCCTCTGTTTATCCTGTTCACCCTTAGGGATGTTGTGTGACTGGTGTCAGGGTTACCAAGAGTCCCTGAAATCCTTGCAACTTTGTCATCATCTGTGCAGGTGGATGGGATTTGAAAGCAGCTTGATCTTGCATTGTGGGTAGGATTGTTTCTGAAGCTAGGTAAGAGACAGATGCATACACTGGCAGGTGGGAAGGAGAAGAAGGTTTCCGTGTCTGCACAGCACTTTTTTCACCCAACACATTCCAACCAACAACAGGTCTCTTGCTCCACCCAACAGTGTAACTGTGAACATGGACCCCGTGGCACGCAAGGGACAGCGTGCCCCTGGCATCCCCCAGCATAGCTGGAAAGATGAAAGGAGGGTTTCTCCCAGTGGAGTTGTGCTAGTGAACTTCTGCTGCCTGTGATGTGACCTGTGTGGAGCCCCACCAAACCTTCATTAATTAGCAGCCCAAATTACAGGCCCTAAGAATGCTATATTTAGCTATTGCAGTGATCAGCCCACGCGCTCTGTGGGAATTTTAAGAACAATTTGAACTCCATAAAGGGGAATTATCAAATGCACAATACCCCCACAGTATCAACAGCATTGCTGAATATTTCAGCAGAGGAGCTGGACACATGTCACTACTTATCTTGTAATCCAAAATGTTGCCACTATTTCAGTATGTAGATAACCAGGAAAACAACTATTCATTTGTGACTAGGTAGGGCTGGAAGTATTTCATTGCAAAATAATGCTTTGTAAAAACAGGAACTTTTCATGTACCATTTTAGGAAAGGGAGGCACTGGCAGAGTGATGGTGCCTGCATTACAAGGAGGTGTCCCAAATACCACGCATTGCCTAGTCTGTGCCATCTGTCCTACAGGAATAATCACGTTTGGTACAAGTAAATAAACATCAACCAAGTCACAGGCATAATCCAAAGCATCCCCCATGATAGCCCTACCTGCTCAGCTACTGATTATTCTTATATGTCCCATCTTCAATAATCTGGGGCAGAACCTGGGTGCTAGTCTGTTCTCACATACATACAAGCGTGATTCCCAAGAAAATGGATATATACAGGGTGATCAGATTCACTATATGAACTGGTCACAAGCATTCAACGTCTAGGTTCAGTGATCACCCAATCAGTTTTCCCACCCCACCTGAGAAAACCATGGAAACACTCAAAATCTAATTAAAAAGATGGTAATTCTTATAAACAATTTTCACCTGGCAAAGCTTTCCAGACACTACAGAAATGAAATATGCATTCCAAGGTGACATAAAACCATAAAAGTAGTCTTCTTCTCTTACATATATGAGGGATCTTATGAATGACCGGAGACTGTTTCTATAATAAACAGCAGAACAAACCCCATTCTTTTGGCTTGCCCTGTACACACAGAGGCTGTAAGCATCTAAAGATAGAAAGGAAAGCACTCCATAGGCAGAGTACACAGTTACAGAACACAGCAACTGTCATTATCATGAGTTAAATATAGGCTAAATTCAGGTAGTCTTTATTCAAACCTTGGAATGAGTGTTTAGATTCTCACTGAAAATAGATAAGAAGCTCATAACCTGACAGATCTTCCCTCATCTTCCAGTTCAGTGCAGATGAAGGCATTCAGCCTCAGCAAAACCTGCTTCTGAGAGCACTTCAGGATTTTCTGGCATCTAAGGTAAAGCCAGTGGGAGCAGTTCCTGGACTTGGTTACTGCTTTCACTCTGCTGGCTGACAGCATGAGGCTGAGGACAGGTCTGGCAACGCAGCTGGTAGGGTGTGAATCGCAATACAGGGATGTGAGTGAGGAGCCAGAGACGTGGATGGTGGCCAGGTTCCACCCCTGAAGCTCATGTCTCAAGAAAATACACTACTTCGTAAAAAATCAACACAATCGCTTTTATTTTTTTTTATTTCATTTCATTTCTAGCCAGCATCAGTGTGTTATTACATCAGCAGCTAAAAAAACCAATGAGGATATTAACACCCTGTCTTTTCTTTTTTAATAAATCCAAATTTTAAAAATTTGGTAAATCATGCTTGACCAATCTGATAGCCTTCTATGATGTTATAACTAGATGGCTGGATGAGGGGAGAGCAGCAGATGTCATCTACCTTGACTTCAGCAAGGCTTTTGACACTGTCTCCCACAACACCCTCATTAGAAAATTAAAGAAGTGTGGGCTAGATGAGGGGGCAGTGAGGTGGATTGAGTCCTGGTTGTGTGACAGGACTCAGAGGGTTGTCATTAATGGAGTGGGGTCAAGTTGGAGGCCTGTAACCAGCGGTGTCCCCCAAGGGTCAATACTCGGCCCAGTCCTGTTCAACATATTCATCAATGTCCTGGACGAGGGGACAGAGTGTATCCTCAGCAAGTTCGCTGATGACACCAAACCGGGAGGGCTGGCCGACACTCCAGAGGGCTGTGCCACCATCCAGCGTGACCTGGACAGGCTGGAGAGCTGGGCAGAGAAGAACCTAATGACGTT